AATTTTCCAACTTGCCAGTGTTAATGTCTTTGAACTGCTCCCTGTGTTCTACTGGTAACTGCATCACCATGCAGAAGTACCCCTTCGTAATAATGTATGGCAATGCAAGGTAGTGGGGGTGGCGACAAAACTGGAATATGCATCCCATCTTTTGTCCCCTCCCACTGTTGTTCCACCCAAGCACCTTAAACCCCTTTATCTTCTGCCCAAAACACAATTTTGTGGCTGATGGGAGTGGCCTCAGCTGTGAACTTCCCCCACCGGTTGACAGCCACTTGACACTGGCAGCTCCCATAACAAGTCTCATTCTTGTATCTTAATGTTTGAGAGTCAAAAGAAAAGCACAGAGCCCTAGAAATATTACTTATTGTATTTGAAAGTCTTGCAGCTACTGTAGATGATTCCAGACTTGGATCCCAGTGCAATTCCACCACTCCAGTGCTAATTTCTCAAGCCAGAAATGGTTCTTAAAGTTGTTTTGTGGACAGAAAATGCCTGAAGCAGCCTGCCATGTCTGATCACTTGCTTATGTTTTGGTCTTGGCTTCCCAAGGGGAAGGAATTCAGGAAATGTGTACTCAGAGCAGGTATTCTACAATATCTTTATTGAGAACAGCCAATATAACTGCATATCAGTCAGTATCATGGCATATTAGTTCAGCAAGAACACAACTATTTGGATGTCCAGTGAGGAGGTGTCAGTCAAGCCTGTTCAATGAATCATTTCTTCAGACACTTCAATTTTGCCATTACACTGGTTCTGTTAGGTAACCAAGACCAAGGGCATTGCCTAACACATACTCTTATGGGGTTACTCATGTGGAAACACAATTGTCACATTCATCCTGACTTTTTGCTTAGCAACATTTTAGCAATGTAGAATAGCTATTCACAACTAGTGTAGGAAGTAATTAAGTATTACTTCCTACAGTTGGCTGGTATTTTCTCCATTAGTTATGTTTCCGAGGGTACCTCACCCTGAGGCTACATCTTTCAGGTGTGGCCTGCTTAGTACCCATTCAGCCCTGTCACATGCAGTATAATTAATTTTGCTTGGGTACTCCTGCTGCATGCACATTGTACCAGCTTACACATTATGCAATCCTAATGTTCACACGATGCAAATACAAAAGAAATGTGCAGCCCTTTTTGTGTCATGGACTCACTCTCCGGATGTAACTTCTTTGCAATCCTCATGTTAATTGGAAAGGAGAGAAAACATGAGGGATTCTGTGCTTCCAAACAATACCATGAAAATTACTGGAAGGGGAAAAGATGCAAAGAGAATGACATTGTGAGATGTTGGGCCAGAGCACTTACAATTCCCTCACTATGTCACCAACATGCCATAATGCATCTCTCCCACATCCCACAGTGTATTATATTGGATAGTTCCACAGGAGCCACTGGGATGCCTAGCCACATGCATTTCATCAGTTGACACAGGTGCTTGTAGTAAGGATGTATGGTGCTAGCACAAACACAGGCATGAATGATGTGTGCCCCTGGCAGCTGGGGGGGCATGGCTGCGCTGGCAGCGGTGAGAGCACTGCGGTGGTAAGCACAGAGGTCCCACAGATGCTGCTGGCGCTGTCGGCAGGAGGGCCTGGCAAGCGCCAGTCAGGGGGTGGCAACCACCTGCAGGTGCTGCTGGCAGCAGCAGCCAGCAGCAATTGCAGACTGCCCACAAGCAAGCAGCAACCACCTGCAGGCGGCAGTGCCACCTTTTTGTAGGGGGTGCACCCCCTACACATCGCCCCTGAACACAGACGTGTACATGTGTTCTCTTGGCACAATCCTGTCAGCTGCTGTAGGCTAACAAAACTTTGGCTGACAAAACTTGTGAAGAGCACATAGCATACTTTCAATAAAAATAAATACATAAAACTTAGGGAGAAAGCCAATTGCCAATTTTTTTATAGCAACCTTTGGGGAAAAAAAGAGCCACATGCCACTCACACTGAACCATTTCTATGCTTTAGTATTTTGAGAAATTTTTCTTTATCATATTTTAAAATAGTTTTCTACTCAAACTGCCTTCTCTTTGCCTTGGAATAGAAGGAAACTTGTTAAGTTAAAACTGTCTCATTTCTTATTTCAAAATGTATTTAATTAATTAGCAGAACAAGTAGTGGAAAGATGCTAGTTAGGGCATGAAAATTAGCAGCATAATAATAGATATTCATTTTGTTTTGAATAACATAATACATTTCCAATGTTAAACGTTGGCAGGGTTGACAGGAACAACAGTAGACAAAATAATGGTTTTATTATTTTAATTTTTTTCCTTGATTGGTCATTAAAAATAGAGAACAATAATAGTAAGACAGGAAGGAGTGGAGGGACATTTTTAGCTGATTCTTTAAAAGAAATTTCTTTCATTTTATACTGCATATTATGAAAGCTAAAACACTCCTTTTAAATTTAAAAAGACAGTGGGAATTAAGGTAAAAATAAGACAATTTACCATAGGCAGAAAAATTTTAACAAAGCCTTTGTCTACGTGACAAAACTGCGTTGCACTAAGCCTTGTGTGGGCACTCTTATTGTTTTCTTTGTGGGGATCTGCAGTGCATCAGAAAACTTTCAGGCACAAGCTAAACCAATATAAATATTTCTAAACAAATATATTTGTCCACCCAGGGATTTCTTCTGATTTAGCTATAGTGGTATTCAAATGGATTTAAATTCATAAGTCAGTTTGCCAATCAGTGTAACTTCACTGTATAACCAATGTCTATACTTCTTTGGAAAGTAAAGTTGAAAGCCACAAGCTTTATGGGAATAGGGGGAGGAAATTAAGTTTAAGTAACATTTGTGGAGAAGGAAGAGGTGTAAGAAAGGTACTGAAGGTTATGGAAAAGAAGGAACTGTGGGCCAATTGGAGGTTCATAAATGCAGTAATGAGATACAAGTTAGTGGGCCAGGTTCAGAGGTGATTTATAAGCTGGTCTAATTTTGAATTCCATACCATTGAATTTCCTCTTTCAGAAGAAGATTTAAGAGGTTGTAGAAGAAGTAATGTATCTCAACTTAACCATCACTTCTAAATTTGGTCCTTTAAAGCACAGTTTCTCAACCTGTGTGGGTACGTGAGACCCATTCAGGGAGTACATGGGTACCCCAACACTCTCTCTCAGCCTCTTTTCCTCTCTCTCTTGCCTGCTTTTCCTCTCTCTCTTGCCCCTTCCTCCTCTCAAAACTCTGGCAAAAAATTTGGTGCCCAGTAAATTCCCCAGTAAGAATTTGGCATGTCACACTTTGCACAGCACTGGGTTCAGCCCCCTAGCTTTGGCCAACATCACCTGTAGCCCAGGTACATACTTGAGTTGTGCACCCCTGGTGTAAAAGATGGCAACCCTACCCACACCAGATCAGACATCTGTTATATCACGGCCTTATATACACAGCCTTTCTTCCAACAGATGGCACACATTAGTCTGTAAATATAAAATCCCCTGGAAAATTGAGTGTTCGGGTACTTACTAAAATTTTCTGAAGTTAGTGGGTACTTGCTACTTAAAAGGTTGAGAAACACTGCTTTAAAGAAGAAGCTCAAGGAATCTACCTGGAGGGTGAAAAGGAGAAAAAGTTGAGAGCATTGTCATGGCCAGATAAAGGAAATCTGAGGACCCCTGCAAATCTATTTTAATGACTTTTTCTGGCTGCAAGTCCTGAGATTTTAATATGTAACTTTCCCTTCTTCCTTGTCCTACCACATCTGTCTCAAAATGCTTTTCCATTCAAGCTAAGGAGGCTGCTGGTGAGGTGGTATGAAGAAACGCCTTGAACTGGCATGGATATTTGTAGAAGAAGTTAGGGAAACATTGGTAAAGACATTCTGGAGAAGTATGAGATGTAGTCCATCCAAACTCATGATAAAGAGAAGCATCCTAAAATCTCATAGCAAAAACAGTTTATACATACCTTGCTATATGGCATGGAAGTATGAGATGCAAACATCAAGGAATTAGTTCATTTTGTCCTTACTTGGATGGTAGGCCCAAAAGGCATCTTTACACATGCTTCAGGGTGGGGGAAGAGTGGTGCTTTAATTACAGCGGCTCTCAGGAGCCGCTGTAATTAAAGTGCCCACAGCATCTCCTGTATTCAGTGTCTCGCACTTCAATAAGGCTGCAGGGGTGCTTTAACTACTGCTTGTTCAATGAGATTTAGTTAAAGCAACCCTGCCACCCTTTGAAGTGTGGGGACACTGAATACACATGAGGCTGAGGCAGCTGGAGTGTGTTAATTAGCATGCTTCAGCAGACTCAGTTAATTAAGTCTGCCCCAATGTGTGCTAACTAAGACGTGTTGGAGCAGGCATTGGGCATGTGTGCAGGTGCCCAAAGAGAAAGAGGCCTCCTACAAATGGCAATGTGGTCTGAACCAAAGGGGCTTAGGTGGTAAATTCATTTATCCACACCTTCAAAATAATAGATTATTATATGGTTGAAGATACTTTTTTCTTTTATTCAGACCAGTTCATGCAATGTTTATACTATAGTCCGGTGGCTCCCAACCGTTTTTATCCTGCAGACCAGCATGGTATCGGGACAGACTGCACAGAGCTGGCTGCTTCCCTTCCAGGACTGCCCCACCACCCCGCTTTAAACCCACATGTGACTGCTGGCAGTGGAAGCCGCTTGCCCAGGCAGAAAGGCAGGGATCTGAGTGGAGGGCCCATGCCATGACCCAGCAGCCACCCCTTCGATGGTTGGGAACCTCTGCTATAGTCTATGTGCTTTTTGCCTATGGCACTACCATGGTCATCAAACATGTGGAACGTGTGTGTATCAGGTCCTCTGGCAATTTTGTCATTCATTAAAGCACTTTACTTAGAAGCTATCTGAAAAAAATTCTCTTTCATTTTGCCATAACTTTGAGTTGCATAAATTTGAAATGATTGTATTTGCCATTGAGTATATGTTACAGTACAAAATTTTTCTTCATCTCATTTTAACTACATGGAATTGATTAAATCAACAGTCTTTCTTTTAGGAATGGAATTTTACTGTGGAACAATTACAAGCTGAAGCACTCAAGATTCTGCTTTCAGAGGATTATGCAGAAAAAGAGCACCTGAAGCTTTCAAATCAGAAAATAACTCTTTTGCAAGAAGAGGTGTGCGGTCACATGGAGGAAAGGAAAAAATTGTTACAAGAGGCCAATGACTTCTTTAATGCTGCTAACAAGGTTAGTATGAGGGCAAATTTACAATTATTAACATGATTATGTGGCTGTTATTATTCTCCTGAAACCTGGTATGAAAGAGATTTGTATAAATATAATTTGCTGAGGCTCACAAAATTGGGAAATTTAAAGTAAGATTACTAGTCTTGTAGCCTTTCAGTATGGTCCTAACCCACATGTTTCCATCCAGGAATGACAATTTTTTTTTTAATATCACTTCTACTAGGGCAAAGAAATCTGTGCTTCCAAAATGGGGGCTACAGGAAATTAAACACTGTAGAAAATTCAGCATACCCCCAAATTTGATTTTAGGATCATATTAAAATAAGAAGAGATTAGAAATGAAAAAGACATAGACCTCTAATTGCTGACAGACGGCATGTCATATAGGCTGATTTTAAAACTTTGTACCTGGCAAAAGGCCAGCAAAACTGATGCTAAATTCTGTCATTGTTCAGGTCCCAGTTCTACAGGGTGGAGCTATTGTGACTTCCCTGTGGCTATATGCAGGTGAGACTGTTTACCTGTGTGGAACTCATTGCAGGCTTGGTGCATCCAATTTCAAAATTAGATTGCTGCACTTCTTGTGGAAGAGAGCTGAGAATATTTCCATGCTAGTGTAACCCTCCCCCAGCACCAGGGCCAGGCGCTATACCAGATTCAAGATCCTCAGGGTGTCAATAGTTTTGGGCTCTCCCAGAGGCAGCTTGGCTGGCTGAGGTGTCCTGCCAAAAAAAAAAGCGTGTTCCTCCTTCTCACCTTCCCAAGACTCCACTCCAGCCTAAGTAACAGGTAGGGGTCTTTGTTTTTAGCTATAACTATTTAGAGAAAAGAAGAGAAAAGATTAATAACAAATATAATACATATATATACATATATGCATTACACGGTTCAACAACACCCATTAAAACCCATAACTAAAATATTATTTATAAACCCAACATTAAGGAATAGTCCATCCAACATGTGAGCCCACATACAACAGCCCTATCAATATATGTCCATTCACAGATTATAGACTCTAAGCCTTAGTTCTACTAGGAATTCAGTTCACAATAATAAATTCAGTTCACATCATAAAAATAAATGGCAACACTGCTATTGCTATGAGTGGTCACCAGATGGCAGTGCACAGCCCCTACAGGCATCTGAGGAGTAGGGTGCACAGTCCCAGGGTGTCTCTCAAACAGAAACCTCTGTCCAGATGGCAGCAGGATGATTCCTTCCCTGTAAACAAACTTCTTACAAGAATAATAAGGTTAAATGCTGCCTTACGTTCCCTTTCCTTGTGAAACTAGGGCTGCTTAATAGAGACTGTCCCCTGTTCCTGCAGCCTAAACTCTCCCATGGCTCCGACTCAGCTGCAAGCACAGACTCCCCCCTCCCCTTTCCCGGGGGAACCTGAGTCCTGAGTTTGCACAGCTCCTGTCCAAGATGCAGGACTCAGCTTCTTAATGTGCACCACAGGCTGCCCATCTTTCCTGGTGTGTTGGCTCTCTGGAGCAGGCTTTCAGTCCCCTTGCTGGGTTGAGAGACTGTCCCAATCCTCTCCCTCAAGTTGGCAAACATCTCCTTCCCTCCCCCCCCCTCCCAATTTCCCACCATCTGCTGTGTTGATATCCCTGATGCAGCCAACCAGACCCCTCTGTTGTGCTGGCAATCTAGTCAGCAGCATGCATACTTTTAGGCTTGCACCTTTTCAGAGCTCCCGCATGCAAGCCCCTTCCTGCTCTTTCTGCAAAGGCTCTAGCATTGATTCCCTGCCCAGCCTGCTGTCTCTGCAGCTGGGCAGCTGTTACACTAGCAAGGAGTTTTAGAAGTAACTTACTGGTAACTTTGCCAGTTTTCTATGGATTGTAAAGGTGGCCTAGCAGCCTTTACGAGTGGATCTGTTAAGAGTTCTATTTTCGTTTGTTTTTCAGTCTCCTTCAAACTGATTATAACATAGACAAGTAAATAAGCACCAACAAAAGAATATTTTATCATCATTTACAACTTTATTTTCTCAAATATCTACTCAAAAATATTTCTTAAGTATATTGTGGCGGGCCAGTAGGGGCTGCTCCTGCATTGAGGCACCCACCTCACTGCACCTGACCACCTTCCAGGCTCTGCGTGCCACCCTGGGGCCCCTCGTGTCTGGCCAACCCCCTTCCTGGAGCACACCCACTTGCCTGCGGGTAATGCTGCCACCACCCAGAGTCTGGACTGATCATGGGACCTGTACCCCTTGGGACACACAGGTCAGGTAGTCCTTGAGGGTACTTGACCCATGGCAAGAACTTGGGGTGCTTCCCTCTGTCTGAAGCACAAATAGTGGTCTCCCTTAGTCAGCCAAACCAAAGGGACCCCAAGGCATAGTTTAGACCCTCTCCCAATAAGTCTCCCATGCTAGGTACAAAGGAGAACTTTATTTGTTAGCAGGAGTAGGTTTGGAATAGGGTACAGGGTACAGCAATATCAGAGAAATGCCTTAGAGCAAACAGTGGCATAGTAGCTTTTGATTACACATCTGTGTTACTGTTACTAGTTAGATCTCAAATAGCTTACTCATAAGTATCATCCAGAGGCAGGTGGAGATTTCCTCTGACGGCAGGCAATTCACTGAGTATGAGTTTCAAGAGAGAGAGAAAGTTTCAGATGGACCAGCTTCTCTCTGAGTTTTCATCATTACTACTCCCCCTCCTCCTGGGCAGTCTTTCACTTATATAGCCCTTATGACCTCATGTACTTGGTACAATGAAGGCCAGCAACTGTTGGCTGCCAGCCAACCAATTTGAAAGCATCACTGGATGCCAGGTAGACTGGCAGGGTCTTTAGCCCCCTCCCAGTCAGGTTGGCATTGCTCAGAACAATAGGGAGCTTAAGCCCCCCCACCCAGGTATGTGATACTAGTCACATAGGCAGAGGGAAAAGGTTTCCCCCCTCCCTCAGGAATGTATCCAGCTCAGGTTACAACTCAGTGTTACCTGAAGAGATGGGGCAGACCAGTCAACCCTTTCAATAGTGGCATTCATTATAATAATCTCCTTTAATACTTTATTAGTCAAGTCCTGCATCAGTGGTTCTACTATTTTACCCAGGATTGATGTCAGGTGAACAAATCTATTCTTATATCATTCTCCTCACTCTTTGCAAACATTAGCAGACCATTAACATTTTTTCCTCTCAAGCTTTCCCCATGTTCCAAATGTCTGAGAACCTCGCACTGATACAGAAAACACAGTTTCCACATTTATTCATTTCTGACCTCTTTGCTGAGATTCTAAAAGACAATGAGAATTAGTACTAATTGTGGTGCTGACTTTTGTGATGTGCACACATCCCACTAGAACGGGGGTGGGCAATTATTTGGGGCGGAGGGCCACTAAACCAGTTTTGGCCAGCTGTTGAGGGCCTATGGGTAGCCCCACCCTTTGACAGGTGCCCCGCCCCCTGGTCACCATCTTGGGACCAATGTCCCAATGTCTTGGGACCAATGACCCAGGGCCAGCACTGATGGGGCCCAGAGCAGGGCGCAGGTTGGCAGGGGTCTGCAGAGCTGGGCTGGACTGCACCAGCAGGGAGAGGGGGGATCTGGCCCGAATCCATAGAGTCCCTGCTGGCCACGACCCTGTACCCCTACCAGGGTAACCATGGTAACCAAATTGTCAGATAGCAGAGTTTAGGGAGAGACAGATGGTATTCTGCCACATATATGACAATGACTTCCATGCATTTAGGCATCAGTGACATTCTTGTTATGTCAGAATAGAGCTTGTAAATTTTCTTTAAAATTCGTAAGGTGGTATTTGCTTATTTCAGGAAAGTATTTCAATATATTTTAAACAAATCTCATAGATCCTGTTTCCTCTCCTATTGAAGTTAATGGGAATTTTGCTACTGACTCTAGTGAGAACAAGATCTGGATCATATTTCTCATACCTGGTCCCTTTGAATTACCCATACTGATAATATATTCTTCAACCTTCTGCCAAAGTTGCTGCTAGGCAGTATGTGGCACTATGAAAGCTAGGTTACTTTGAATTTTCTACTGGTCAAGGGCCTCTCTAGGAAATCCTATGGCCTCATAGGGTTGCACTTAATTACATTTTAAGAAACATATGAGTATTAAAACTGAAAGTATTTCAAGAGGGGAATTTAAAGTATGTATAGTTTACATACATAAACTATGTAAGTCTTTTTTGTTTATTGTTGCAAGACTAGCTCAATGAAAAACTAAAATATTCCATAATATTTGTAGCATGTCATATGTGTGGATTAAAACTGCATATAATATTATTGCTTACTGAACTTTTCTCCTTTGAAAGATTGTTTTGAATTTGGAGCTAGTATGGTAGCACAAGAAGGAAATCTGTCATGTTATGGCCACTAACGGTGTCTGTGACATGAGGTTAGTCCTGTTTCTAGTGGAGGGGTGGGCAAAATATGGCCTGTGGGCCAGATCCAACCTGCGGGGCCCCTGAAAAAATTTTGAAAATTAAAATTTATCTGTCCTTGGTTCCTGTCAAAGATTTCAGGAACCAGGGGCAGTAGGACCCAGGGGAAGCCTTCATAGACTTCATAGACATTTGGGCTGGAAGGGACCTCAGAAGATCATCGAGTCCAGCCCCCCACCCAAAGGGCAGGAAGTCAGCTGGGGTCATAGGATCCCAGCAAGATAAGCATCCAATTTACTCTTGAAGGTGTTCAGTGTAGGTACTTGAACCACCTCCAATGGCAGGCTGTTCCAGACCTTGGGGGCACGGACAGTAAAGAAATTCTTCCTTATGTCCAGCCTGAAACGGTCTCACAGTAGTTTATGACCATTCGACCTCGTCATCCCTTGGGGTGCTCTGGTGAACAAACGTTCCCCCAGATCCTGGGGGAAGTTTATCAGGGGTGACTTGGAGACCCCCAAGTCTCTTTCTTCAGTAGTGCTAGCCAGCGTAGCACTGCC